ACATTGCCTGTGGGTTAAGAAAGGAATGGGCTGAGTGCAGGAAAAATAGTTCACAGATAGTGGATTTCACAACGTTCAACAAGAGCCAGACCTGTTTGGGCTACACAAGTACCTTTGCTGATATTGTGCTATGTCAGCATGGTTTATCTGCATACAGAAACACAAGGAATTCCTGCCTCAGGCAGAAAGTAGTTGCTACCAGCAAAGAGAACTTTTTGGGGGAATAGAATTATAATCTATTTAAATTCCTTTCTACACAGCATAACAAAATATATCTCATAAAAACAACTAGTTTATGAATTTGACAGGTTCCTTCTATGCCACAATCTCTTACTGTCAGTCGAGTTACCTATAATCAGCTTTTCCTCATGAGAACATGGGAAAAAAAGAAGTTGAAATTAGGCATATGGCAGGGTATTGAACATAATAAGTAGGCTGAAATAGTTAAACATTTAGCTAAGTATTTTTTCACTTTTATCAGTTCCCTGGGTGTTGAGAAAAATAATGTACAAAGGAAGGAAAAGTATTTTATTTGCTGTAGGAAAATGTTCACAGTCTGAAAAAAGGAGAGAGCAAAAGGATCAGAAGTCAGCAAATGACTGCAGTAGGATCCTCTCTGCCATGGACAGTAGCACACAGGCACCTCAGCACCAGATCAGCACCTCTGAAGTTTGGAACACCAGCAATTTCTTTAACCAACTTTAGACACCTGTGATTGAGATTTTTGGCCATGTGCTCTGTACAAAAGCATAATCGAATGACAAAGTTCTGCCGTAATAAATGACTCCATGTAATGGTGAGTGCTGCAGAGCAGATTGCTTATTTCTGGGAGTGAAAGATACAGTACTTGTTCAAGGATAATCTGATAATAGATCACAAGGAATTCCAATGCCACAAAAGACTAAGCAGAGCCTTGGGATTTCACCAAGAAGAGGGGCATAACTAACCCAACACAATCTAATGATGAAGGAGATTCACTGAAAGCTGATTTACTGCTATACAACCTTCTCTTGTCTGCCTCATCTTAAGGAACTGAAATGTTTTCCATAACAGGTCATAAAGCCTCTGTTTTTCCCTGCAGCAAAAGCCAACAGGTTTTACTTTGTAGGAAGGAAATCTGCTCAAGCACTCTCAAACAATGAAAACAAACCACTTCTTTCAGCTAAACAAAACCACTGCAGTAATACAAATTTCCTATGTCCTCCATGAGAAAATGTTCTTTATCAAACCCTGCAAAAACAAGATTAAAAAGATGATCTGGTTGTAGCACATCTTTCAAAACTATTAGTTTTACACCAGCTCCTATTTTGTTAGACAGCATTTGTTTGCTTGGAGGGGCAGGCTTCACTGCACAGTGATAGTACAAATTTTCCACATTGGGAAGTTTTTTATGAAATAGTGCCCTTTTTTATATTGGTAAAACTGAGTTGATGGCAACCAAGGTATCACTTGGCTAAAAAATATATGAGGAAAGGCAAAAGGGGCAAATCTTAAAATCAATGGAAAGAGAGAATTTGAGCTTTCTGCATCTTTCAGAGGAGGAAAATACATAAACAGTGGATTTTAAAAAGAAGGAAGCAAAAATAAGGAGAATAAAGCCACAGTAGATAAAGAGAAAACTGAATTATTTTCACAAGTGATATTTCTACAGAATGTTTTCAAAGGAAAAGAATTGAGCACACATTTTTCCCTTTCCCTTCAGAGGCTGGGACCATTATTCCATAAAGTAGATGCTTATAAAATCATAAGCATCACCATCAGAGCTGGATGGCCTGTTTTGAGTGTCAGGAGATGTGTTGTCATTAGACTTAATCAATGTCTATTTCATTCAAAATAAGCAAGTATGCTTCCTACTTTTAGCAATTTTTTAAATTGGAAATTTACCAAAGCTTATAACCTTAAATTGATGGATGATGTTTTTAAAGCTACGTACTTGGCATAGTCAGCTACATAATGCATAAGTGACAGAGTTTTTTAGGATTGAATTAAATATTATCCAACCCATACAGGCAGAGAAAAAGTTTTTGGTGTGTTGCTCCCCAGGAGGCTTCTCTAATAGTGATTACTGCCTCTGTCCTAAAAATTAAATAACTGTTGTGTTATATTTTTCAATTCAAACTTGCTCCTTCCCATCTGTTATCCTGTTACATAGCTGATCAAGACTACCTGTATATCTTTTGCTGTGGAAAAAATTTTAAAAATCATCTTTTTTTTTTTTTCTTTTTCACCCCATTCAAGATAAAAATAATTCAATTTTATGTATCTTCCTCTCTTATCATTCTCTTTCCTGATCCTGTATAACTTTACATACTTTTATGCACTAAGAGAAAGGACAGAATTTAAGGAGTTTTAATGACTGAGAAATTTTTGAAATAGCTGTTTCTACTGCAACACATTAATGAAGTTTGCCTACGATATTTTTTTCAATACACTATGTTAATCTGACTAACAGATCACTTGTTAATTTAAGTAGCTTATTCTGTTTTGTTGCTTGGACCCCCAAGTTCTCTTTTAAGATATTGTAGAATTACCTGTGAGCAATCCTGTAAAGTTCCAGATATAAAGTTATTAACATTTAAAGTAGACACCCTTAGGTAGTTAGAAGAAATTATTCTATGACAAAAATCAAGTAATTTTAGCAGAAATTAAGGAAACAGAATTTTTGAAGTACCATAATTTTCATGAAAATTCCCCATATTTGAAAGAGATTGACTGAGATCCGCACTTCACACGTTCTTTTCCTCTTGCTTAAGAGATTGTGCTTTATTCATTTCTTATAATAGGCCACTTTATAGAGTATTATTATTCTCAGGGAATCATTTTGAAGGAAAGCATAGTAAAGCCCTAACAAACCATGTGTTCAGAATTTGAAAATCAAACAGGAAAATTTATTTGATAATATTTCTTAACCAAGAGAAAAGTCTAAAGTACTCTTTGAGAACTTTCTTGATTACCACATTCTCAGCCTCGTAGCTAATTCTAAGCCCAAACAGCCTGACTGACAACTCATATGCTTAATGTTAAAATAGCACTGAAGTGCTTTAAACCAGGATCTAAATATTTCATACAGATATGATCAGAAGCATGTATTCATCTTGGACAGGAAATCACATTCCATTTACATACCTCCTTGTCTTTGAGTCTATGGTCTGAAGTTCAGAGCCTTAAAAATACATTTATTTCAAAGAGTGCTGGATCTGGCATTAATGAATAACTCCGGCTGCAGTAATATGCTATTTGAAAATATTTAATTGAGGTCTGAAAACTCCGGTGAATACCAAAGCAATTTTTAGTACAGTTTGACTAGATTCAATCGCCAAAACTTTGAAACACTTCTGGCTCAAGCCCTAAAAGTCCTGAAACTAGAAGACTTGATGGCATAACCCCTATTGCAAGAAAACTAAGCAGCACAATGTGTCCATTTTTATTCAATGCCATCCAGAGGGCAAACTCAGCAAGTGGGAATTTCATGAGGTTTAACAAGACCAGATGCTGCTGCTGCACCTGGGATGGGGCCACCCCTGGTGTCGGTCCAGGCTGGGGATGAGCAGATGGAGAGCAGCCCTGCCCAGAAGGACTTGGGGGTGCTGGTGGGCATGACCCAGCCACGTGCACTCAGCTCAGAGAGCCAAACGTGTCCTGGGCTTCATCCAGAGCCCCGTGGGCAGCAGGAAAGGGCAGGAGGGGATTCTGCCCCTCTGCTCTGCTCTGGTGAGAGCCCACCCAGAGCTGCATCCAGCTCTGGGCTCCCAACACAAGAAGGACGTGGGACCATTTGAACCAGTCCAGAGGAGGGACACCCAGTGATTAGAGGGATGGAGAACATCTCCTGTGAGAAAAAGCTGAGAGAATTGCTCAGCCTGGAAAATAAAAGGCTTGGAGGTGGCCTAATTGTGGCCTTCCAAGTGCCTGAAGGGAACTCACAAGAGAGCTGGAGAGGGGCTGTTTGCAAGGGCCTGGAGTGACAGGAATGGCTTCAAACTGAAAGAAAGAAGGTTTAGATCACACTTGAGGAAGAAATTCTTGACTATGAGGGTGGTGAGGCCCTGGCACAGGTTGTCTGGAGAAGACGTGGGTGCCCCATCCCTGGAAATGTTCAAGGCCAGGTTGGATGGATCTTTGAGCAATGTGTCTAGTGAGAAATGTCCCTGTCCACGGCAGAGGGATTGAGACTAGGTGATGTTTAAGGTCTCTTCCAACCCAAACCATTCTATGATTCCACTCCTAGGGCTTATACTGAGCACAGTCAATAAATTTGCTGCCTTGGAAGCAAATACTGGCAATAAGCAATACTAGCACACTACTGCAAGTTTTCAAAGTTAATTGAATCAGCATATAAAAATGTTTTCCCTGTGTAATACATCTCATTATAATCAACCTCTCTATGGCTGGCAGTTCCCTATGATATGCAAATTTCAATTATTTATTTAGAATATATTCAGCATTTTCATATGACTCCATTTTCTGTTTAAAAAATTTGAGAGTTGAATTAAGTACCCAGCTCTCCTTTGGAAAGTGTTATTAGCAACATTGTATGCCAACATAATAATGGATCTTTTCAAATATTCAGACTACAAATATACTTTGGAAATGAAAAAAGGGTTTCACTCAAACTTCCTTTAGGATCTGCACAAGCACTCTCAAACAGATTTAACTTCCTGGTTAAATCTGCTATGCTGAATCCTTTACAATATGCAGCACAGAAAGAGATAAAGGTTTAAGGCTATTTTACCTATTTTTCCCTGACACAAGAGAAAAACTTAATGATATAATCATTATTTATTTCCATTTTAAAATTCAGTCTCAATGAACTCATGCTGGATTTCATGTAAAAACAGCAACATCTTGAAGGAGAAATACAGACCACTGACAAAAATGTGCTAGTGATCCACTGACACCATGAATCTGTTTCTCAACCAGTGTTGTTAAACATTCTGGAGAAAAGCTAGATGACCCTTTTCAAGGTGAAAAAATAAAAAGGAAGCACCAGAAAACAGATGTTATCTAATGGAACTTTTTCACAGTTTACTGAGTTTCTCATTGTTTCTTGAAAGACATGAATAACATGGCAAAGAAGTCCAACATGAGCCACACAATGAGATTGCAAGTTACAGAGATATGGAGTTGTTTTTATTCCCTGAGTAGCAGATGATTCCCCTCCATCAGAATTACTGTTAATATAGAACAATAAGACCACAACTTATCCCGTGGTTAGTTGTTATTTAGATTTGTACAAAGCATGTTTTCATTTGTGATTCTAATAATATAATCTCACTAGGAAAGAAAGAACTTTCATGATGATGGCCATCTCTGAAAATTGCAAAACTCAGCCTGGAAATTTCTGTTCTTTTTCCTTTTTATTGTTTTTGCAGAAAATTGTATCAAATAATACATTACTTCAATGCAGACTAGACTGTCACTGAAAATAATTTCTAAAGAAGCAGTAACATTTAATAAATTTTTCACGCGTGTTTATTTTTTGGGATTCACATGGAACAATTAAACTTATATGAAAGAAATAACTGAAATATATGTATTACATGGTCAAACAACTGATCAGTAAAACACAGCAGGAAAACAAGGATTCATAATTAAAGTAGATTAAATCATATACCTCATTATCAAAATGAGGGGTGTGTAATTAAAATAAAAACTTATATATAGTCAGTGTATATACACCTCTAGGTATCACACGAAGTTTGATTATCGATGGCTAATTGATGAATGCTAAACTGTGATAGAAAAATAATCAAAAAAAGATATTTGAAGCTCCATAAATAAACCCCAGCTAAAAATTGTTTGATTCTAGGTCCAAATATCATCGTGTGAATGATTGGTTGCACCCATCACAGATATTTCTCCTCTTTTTTCTTTCTGGCCTCTTGAATATTTAATTGCACTGTTCAAAAGAGAAGAAATTCCAAAGGAGCAGTAATTGTAGAAAATCCACTAGACAAAAACAGCAGACACACAGAGGATATAGATTTCAATTTCCCCTGATCCCACCTCTCTGGCTGTGCCTCATTGTGACAGACATTAGAAAAATAAGTAATTGCAGAAAAGGAAAGAGTCTGGTGAGGATATGAAACACCATGTGAGGTTGTTCATACACATTCTTACCATCAGCATTTCCTATTAAATTGAGATAATTGCTCTGGGTTCTCTGGATTCTATTTTGAACCTTCCCTTGTCCAAGGGAAGGAAGATAATTTGTAGATTTTTGACCTGGTGGTTGATTTTTAGAATGGCTACTGCCATGTTTAATGCCATGCTGCTGAAATACCACTGGATATGTGTGTCCCTTGGCCACACACTGGCAATCAAACAGGAACCTCTTTCTTAGCTGGTGTAAACTAAGAGGAATTTTTGGCTGTTTGTTACTAGAAACACATTCTGGCAACACTGTATGGACTCTTAACTCATGTGAAAAGTCCCATAAACTATTTCTGAATGCAATCCCTACATTCAATTTGGCAAGGACAACAAGAAATTCAGGATTCTAGTTTAGGTTGGTAGTATCTCCTTCCCTGCAGATGAAGGTTTTGCCTGTGATTTTTGCCTTTGTAGAGGAAGCAAAGTGATTGTTTCAATTCTGCCTGTGTGGCTTTGAGGTCTGCCTTCTCCCTTTCCAAACAAATCCAATAAAATAAAAAGTGTTCTGGAAACCATTACTCCTACAAGAGAGGCACAGTCTGACTTTGAGGGAGAAAAGTGTCTGCATTAGGATGATAAATGACTGACTATAATTAATTGATCAATTAATTGATTTTACAATAAAATCCAGTATTAGAAGTAGTGGCCTTAAATACACCATGACCCGCAGTTTTATCTGATAAATTATCCTCCATCAAAATCCACACTCAGCAGTTATTTATTGTGCAAAGTTCCAAATTGGATCTTCTACTTCTGAATTAATTTGGATCCTAAGTATTTTGCATTTGTATTGCCACCCAAAAGAGTTTGTGTAAAAATCATGTTTAAAAAAGGGATATACAATATTTACAGTAGGAACATGCTTGACTTTCTATGATATTAAAAAAGCTTAGCAAAAGGGAACAATGCTCATCATCTAAATGTCTGCTCTAGAAAAATTATTCCTAGGGTAATTTCAGGGATGCTGCTCTCTCTGGATTCAATTTATGTTCTGCATCTACAATAAAGGGCAAATGTCTCTGCAGTTCCCTGCTGAAATCAGTGTTGGTCTTGTACTTCTCAGTCTCACAGCTTGGAAGAATGCCATTGCAAAGGAGCACGGAAAATGGAAATGAGCCACCACAGAGAAAGTCAAGAGTGAAGATGCACTTCAAATCAATTCTGCCATGAAGTTGAGCTCTTGTTAAGTCTGGTAGGAATGGATTTTAACAGATAGGAGAGTATAACCTCAGGGCTACTATTCTCCTAATCACACAGATAATTTTTTTCTTTAATTTTTCTGGAAAAACCAAAGCATTAAAGAATTTTTTTAAAGATATATTTTTCAATGGTGCAAAATATCTAATTAGTTTTCAGAAATGTGGTTCTGTCTTGGGAAAAAGATGTTATTTGACCTATGAAATGTTGTAAGCAGATTATTAAATCAGACTTTGTTACTCTTACTGCTATGTTGCAATTGTGGAAGAGATGATGGAAGAGACAAAAGAAGCATCAGTCTGATGAAGTATCAGAAAGAAATTTGAAATGGCATTTGACAACATATCAAATAAAGGGCACAATTCAATAAGGGATCACAATTCAAACATTCAGTAGTGTATAGAAGACTACATCATTTTAAAAACCACTAAAATATATTTTATAAGTGATATCCTACTGCACAGGACAAAAACGGAAGAATACGATTTCAGAATAGCTGAAAAAAATCACAAGAATTGCACATAACCACTCCAAGGCTTTTCCACAAGTAAGTGAAATATAGGTCATAAATCTCAAAAAAAAAAAAAAAAAAAAAAAAAAAAAAAGAAAAATTCAGCTTCAAATACTTACCATAAACCCATCACTACAGTTACACACATCAGCATCTTTGAGTTCAGCTTGCAGCAGCAAACAGTTAGGTACTGTCAGAAAAAAAGAGAAAGCAAAGTTTGTTGCTACAAATTTCTGGATTATTTCTGAAAATATCCATGTCTACAGTCTGGTTTAGAGCAGCTCCATGATAAGAATGTATTTGGGATTTGTTATCATTTGGGCAAGCATGACAAGATAAGATCTTAACAACTATATTAGAAACATGCACAAGTTCGTTTACATTGCCTACAGTGCTGCATTGATTCCTATCTCTTTCCTGAGTTATTTCACTAACAAAAGGGTCATAGGAAATGTACACAGAGCCAAGAAGCCTACAGACATTAAGTCCTTCCTGCTCCCCAAAGCCTTTATATAACAAAAATTGTGTGCAGTTGATTGTGGCTTAGATACATTGCCATAAGAGTTTTCATCGACTCGCCGTTTATTCACATTGCAGCATTCTCAAACTCACTTCATCTATTTTTAGAGACAGATAATAAACATTTATGCGATCAAAATAAATAATACAGGACTACTGAAACATCTCAAAGGCTTTGCTCTGCAGAATGCCACCAGCTCCTGACAAGGGAGTACACTCAGCACTAGCCACACTTCAGGTTTCAGCCATTTATTTTTGACATGATGAAAATGCCTTCTCTCCGAGTGCATGGCCACTCTTCCTCTCTTACGTCAGAGTCTACAAGCTATTGAGGGTAAAAGATGTATGAGCCTGCTCAGACTGAGAGCCAGCAACTTAGTCAGTATGTTTCTTTTTTTAGTATTTAATATCTTTCCTGACTGCAGCAGATTTAGTCTGCTTGGAAGTTAACACTGAAGTATTTGGACTACCACTGTTTGAGCGACAGTGACCACTGAGAAAGGACAGCAAGTCAGAATTTTTGCTTGCTCTACATTTAAACACATTGATAAAGAGACAGGATAAATACTTTTTCTAAAAAGAATTCCACCCATCAGGCCACTGTGCTGCTGTGAACACCACTGCTGCTCAGCAGACATGTCTCTGTAACCACAGCTGCTCATTCCTTTGTGCATGCTTACAGAGTGCAGACTGGAAGTCCTAAAATGAAGATGAAAAGGGGGAAAAAAAAATTGGATTCCAGATGATCTGAGGCAGCAGCTGCTTAAATCTTCGGAAGGGTTTATCTAAATAAACCTGTGGGATTAATATATTACACCATTCCTAGATAACCTATCAGCAAAGGCATTAACTAAGAGTTTGGAACACAAGTAACAGCATTCACCACTTCTACTTTCAGCAGCCCAAAACTGCAGCCAAGCCACACGAGAGCGCACACTGACATCAGATCAGTCCTTTCCAAAAAGCTTTTCAGAACTGCCTTGTTTTCTGCAATCAGCAGTTTTAGGCCAAATTCTATGAATCCCAGTGACCTCGCCTTTTATCAAATAAAATGTGGAGCACTGATGAATGGAATGGAAACTTTAACTAAGCTCAACAACAGTTTGAGCATTCCATGCTGGGATATGCAAAAGAACAAGGCTATTCTGTAAAAGTACAAGCAGAAATGTAGTAGATTAGATTGTCTGCAGCAGCATCTCTGAAATTCAATCCTTTCTTAAATCATTTCAAAGGCAGATGGACAGTGTTTTGCCAAGTCTGCAATTTGGTGGCAATGAAATTGCCTCATGAATGTGAAGTTAGATGACTACTTAGAATTTCATATATTTGTGAGAGAACAGAGGCAGAATTATCTGAGGTCTTCTAAACTGCAAGAAAAGAGAGGAAATTGGCTACATGCTGAAGCATTTACAAAAGGACAAGTTGAATCTGTTTATAAGAATGCTGGCAGAAGATTTAAGTGCCTTACAATTTCAAATCAAAGGCCTGCTGGTAGAGAAAAGCTGGAGAGAAAAAAGAGAAATCTGCAAATACACTTACACTTTGCTTCTGATATGAGATAGAAAAGTGGAACAGAGAAACTAAGAGAGGAGGAGGAATATCAGGAATTTTTATACAGGTAAGTACTTCTGAGCTGAAATTTGCAAAAAAATTAGGAGATAATGGGAAAAAATAACTATGGTAAATACATTTGAAAGAATCCCTTAGCATATGAAAAAGAAATTACAGGCTATTTAGTTTTGTATGATAGCAAGGATATTTCAATACTTAGTGGTTTTATTTTGGTTTGATGACTGTTAGAATATTTGCAGCATAAGCTGTGCAAGCTACTTGTAGTTCACTTTGCAATACTACCCTTCAGCCATTTTCTGTGTTATATTTAAAGGAGAGGCTTTATAACATATTTTCCTGCAGCTGGTAGTAGTTTTTGCAGAGTACCTGTGCAAAAGATGGTAACCTTGGTAGAGAATGGAGCTAAAATGTACTTCTATCTTTATAATGATACAAAAATCTCATTACTCTTGATATGCTATACTGGGTACTTTTCTACAAGGGAGACAGGGAAAAGAAGGACATCCCCAGCCATCTTCTTGCTTGGAATCTCAACATCCCTGCACTTACTAAACATTAATAAGAGCACACAAAAATGGCAGATCAGTTCTGAAGAAAGGGATGAAAAGCCTAAAAACAATCCTTGAAAGGACTCAGAGTTCTGAAATAGATGTGACTTTGGATATCTGACTTCAGCTCTGTGATGCAAGAAGTTCCTGTTCATTGTCTCCTTTAACAATAAGGCTTTGCAAACACTGACTACCTGATTTTGATTTGAAACTTCTTTTTTCTGCAGTTACTTACCTCAATTTCAGCCTGTTTCAATGCCAGGAGAATAAGAAAAATTGACAGGATAATGTTTAGGTTTTTAACTCTCATTTTAGAGCTCAGAGCATGTTCACACACCCACTCATGGCATGTTTGACCCACAGGTTTAACCTACTGCCTCTTCAAAAGTCGCTCAGTGGTTCAGCTGACACTCATCTTGGGTAGCAGCCTCGTGCAGGAATATGTGTGTCCAAATCCACCTCAGCCTAACTGCAAGGAATCCAACCCCCAGCTTCCCTCTGCAATGCCTCAGCCAGAAAACAAGGCAGCCTGGACCAGAGCACTACAGAACAATCCAGTCTGTCCTGCAATATCTGCACCTGCCTACTTCCATCACTTCCATCACCAAACAATTCAACAAACAGCTGGGATGTATTTTTAGAACTTATTTCAGTCCTTTCCATTTTCTTTCATCACAAAGTTTTGTCTTTACTCCTTGTTACTTTCATTTTACCTATCGCAAAACTGGAACAGTAACTTCGGATTTTGCTAGTCTCTCTTTTTATTTTGTCTTTTCATCTTAGCCTTACTTTCCCATCCTCTCAAGCCACAGCACAAACACACTTGTCCCACCCCCCAGCCTTTTTAACTACCATTTCTCCTCTTTATTTAATCTCTTTATGCTCAGAAATAACACTCTGTGTCCTGCCTTGAACTGCCAGCTCCCTTCAATACAGCTAAGTAACTCTTGAAATCAGTCCCCTTTTGGCTTCTCTGACTCTGCACTATGATAATTTTTTCCTGCTGTCTTTCTTCTACAGATCCCTCTAGATTTATTGTGCTTCTTGGCGGGAAATCCAAAATACATTTTATTTTGTCTCCTTCATTCTTGCCTTTAAATTATCTCAGGTTACCCTTACCTGCAAATTGAAATTTAACTACTTTTTTAAAGCAACTAACAGCCCTACCTCAGCATCCCAAACCTATTGCCCCCTTGTCTATCTGACATCTCTTTCTAAATGACCAGCTATCAACCTTTCAAATTCTACAAAATTAAAACAGGCATCTTGATATTCCCTTGCACCATCTTTTAATCGGACTGACCAGCATTTCACTGCCATGTTTGTTTATAAATATAAAAAATATTTGGTCTCCCCCCATTTATTAAAAATGCTGCTGCAAAGACTGACCTTCTACTACAAATTTGTATCCATGTCACGCCTCTCTTTTCATTCTTGTGCTATTGGGTCACTTTTTTGTGTGAAACACAATCTACTTGTGTTTATTCCTCATGCCAAGAGCATCATGGCCCCATCCAATTCCCCATTCAGCAATTTCCAGTAATTCAGCAGCAGGAAACTCCAAACTACTTCTTGTCTCACTCTCCATATTTTAACTGCTCTACCTCTCAGGTGACAAAGTAAAAAATATCCCCATCATTCTCCAGGCCATTCATAAAAAAATTTCCCTTATTATGGAGGCTTGGAAAACCTGCTAGTGCATCTTGTTAAGATCTATGAGTACAGGATACCTTGACTATGATTTTCTTGTGCACTGCACTTTTTAGCACCTGGTATTTCATTTTACTCTTGGATCAGCTTGGCAGGGATGATCATTGATGCATTGATGCACAACTCCCACATTTATGATGCTGCGTAGGGAAGTTTTCATAGGGGGAACACCTGGCTGCTGCTCCTTGTTAATTTTGAGACTGGCTCTTAGTCATGTTCAAAGCTGGTCCTAAAACACCTCATGGGAAGGAGAGGGGGAATATAAGGAATTTTTGTAGTGATAGAGGCCTTCATACAGAAGATACAGTCTGGAGAACTGACACAGGACGAAATAGAAAAGTCAAGTGAAGAATCTTTTCACCAAGGGAAAAACTGGACTCCCAGAAGGGTTTCTAGCAAAAAGCACTTCTTTTTGCCCTTCTCCCTGCCCTAGCCGTGCAAACATGAGTTGTTCTAAAGTCAGCAGTCACATTCATGTTCAAAGGTTGTAAATTATGACGAGTAATGCAGAATCTATTGTCATAACCAGAGATCAAGGTGAGGAATGAGGAGCTAAAAAACCTATTTCTGTTCTAGACATATGTAGGTATGTAAATAATTTATTTTGATGGTTTTATTCTAAACTCATGTGTCTATCAATACTGTTACTGCTACTCCAAGCCCCTAAAAAATCTGTCCAATTCTTTTCAGTGTAAGTTTCTCTGAATCTTTTGGATTTACAGGATCAGTATTACTTCTTGAGTTGCTCACCATTTTGAACTAAAAGCTTAAGGTATTTTTAATACTCTTTGTGAAACAGTATTTGCAGTGAAATGGTGCTTGGAAAAGTAGGAATATGTCA